TATATATATATATATAACTTTATATTTACTTAATACATATATTATATCTATAAAATTTATAATATTTATATAAATATCAAATAGCATACCTGTAAGATCCAAGAGTATTCAAACATTTCATTGTTCTGCTACAAATATTAGGATTTTTTTCACATTCGTCTATATCCATACATTTGTCTCCAGAAACAGATTCAAATCCACGTTGACAATTAATCTGTTCCTGAGATGATAACGAAGTAGTAGGAGCAATTGATGTTGATTTAGTAGTTGTGATTGTAGTGATATCGAACCGAGATTCTAAAAACGGTACACGTGGATTACGATCACATCGATAAGAGCCAAGCGTGTTCCTGCAATGATAACCCTTTCCGCAATCGTGTGTTCCAAGAAGACACTCGTCATCGTCTTCGCAAATCTCAGTGGCGGCATTTAGAGTATATCCTGTGCCACACGATAGATAACGAGTACAAGTGTAGCTACCTATAGTATTGTCGCATCTTTGTCCTTGCGTACAGCTATCTGTCTATAACAAGATGAAGTATAATACATTTTAAAATTTCAACGAATTTTTCATTTTATGATATATGATGGCAATTGAAAATAATTATTTTCTTTTGTCTTTTGAAGATTAATAAAAAAAAAAAATAAAATTTTACTATTTGGTTAAATGTTGAATATTTTTTTTTTCTTTTTGAGACAAATAATGATATATAATGACGTATAATAATATAATAATAATACAATAATAATAATACAATAACGTATAATGTAATTATTCAATTTTAATAAAAAAAATTATGAAAGATTAAGATGTTTAATTTGAGAAGAATTCTATAATAAAATATTCAATAAAAGTATAAACAAATGTTGATGATTTAATTTTTAAAAAATCTTCGAATTATTAAGTTATGATATCAATTTTTCATCTTAATGAAATTTTCAAATAAGATAAATTTAATAAACGAAAATTCTAAAATATTAAAGAAGAATTAATATTTTTATAATTATAAAAAAATAGAAAAAATCATAAGTCATTTGTCAATATTTTGTCGTATTTTATATTATATTTAGAAATAAGTATTCAAGATCTAATTCAAAATTCAACTAAACTAAGTTTGGATAAAAAATATTACATTACATTAATTTTTATTATAAAGAAATTGATATTTTTTTTTGTTGTTAAGATTCAATTCTTTTCTATTTTGATATATATTTTATGTAAATAATATATATATATTAGCATTTAAGCAATATATAATAAAATTATAAATCGTTATACCATATTACATGATGATATTTAACAACAATATATATATATATAT